AATGACACTCAGAAATGGCTTTATGCCATGGGGCCATCCAAGTGCTGGCATGTAGGGACAGCCCAGCCAGGAGACAGGAAGTGACAGCTCCCCTCTGAGCTCTGCTCTGCACACCTGGTCTCCCCAGTGCTGCCTCCACCCTTCACCCTGAAGGAAGTGCAGCTGCCCATCATCGACTCTGAGACCTGTGATGCCTACTACCACGAGAACTCTGGCATCCCCAGCCAGGAGCCCCTCATCCTGGAGGACATGCTGTGCGCCGGCTTCGAAGACGGCCAGAAGGACGCCTGCCAGGTGAGCGAGCCGGGACCAGGCTGCCCTCCCCAGCACCCCAGGAGGGTCAGGGTCTCCCCATCACCACTGTGAACCTCCCAGGACGGAGGAGGACAAAAAAAATTTTTTAATACAAGGATCAATTAAAAAAAAAGTTCCCAGTCTCTGTCTCCCTTGCAAATATTATATAAATATTATCAGGACATGCAGTATCTGCAACTATGATCACATCTCTATCCTTAAAGTTTTCCCTTTTTGGCCAGAATTTTTTTTTCCTTTTTTTTTTAAATTAACTTTCTTTTTTTTTTTTGCGCTGCTGGCTGGTACAGGGATCCAAACCCATGACCTTGGTGTTATCAGCACCACGCTCTAACCAAGTGAGCTAACCAGCGGGCCCCACAATTGCTTTTTCTAGCTGTAGCAGAAGTTTAAATTTTATGTAGAGAGTATCGACTGTCCTATCACATTGCTTCACCATCTGCCATGGACATCCCCACTAATTCCCAGGCCAGCCGCCCTGCCACTTTCCAGAAATATCCAATCCACTGATTCTCTGCCTGCTAGCCCTGGCCAGTAAAGAGCTGAAGAGTGGTTGGTGGGACCAGGATGGGGGCGGGGGGCCATGAATCTGAATTTCCCACCCATGTAAGGAGAACAACTGGCTCTGAGCAGCCCTGGTCCCTCACACTCCTACACTCTGGGCCCCTTCTTTCTTCCCAGGGTGATTCCGGAGGCCCCCTGGTCTGTGACATTGATGGCGTCTGGATCCAGGCAGGGTTGGTGAGTTGGGGGTCCTACTGTGGCCTTCCCAGGAAGCCAGGTGTTTACACTAATGTCAGCTTCTACAGAACATGGATTATCGACACAATCTGGAGCTCGACCTCAAAGGAAAGAAACTACTCTCCAAGACTTGCTGGGACCTACTCTGGTCTATTGCTGCTTCTGGGACTGCTGGGGGGTACCCTCGTCTCCCTGGGGCTTGCCTAACCGAGTATCTCATTCTCTCAGCCCTCCAAACTCATGCCCTCTCTCTGCTCTTGGCTAGGAACAGCTTCTCGAAAGGACCCCCCTCCCTGCGCCCTCCCTAGGCAGCTGCCTGCTGCCATCCACACAATACCCTGTCCTCCAGGGACCCTCTCTGGCCCCTCCCCCCCATCACCACATGGTTCTCTCTTTACACCCAGCCCTGTCCTCTCACTTGTCCCCCATGGGCCCTAAGCTGCCTCTCGCCCTCCCCAACAGCCCCTGGACTCTGCGAGGGACAGAGCCTGGCATCTTCACTTCCTTTCTCACCCCACTTCCCACCCCCGGGGCTAAGCCACAGGGTATAGCCACGTCTCAGGATTCCTGGGACTCCTGGAATCAAGGTTCCCAGCCCATGGGGTGGGCCAGTCCCTTTGCAGATGTGTCTGTCCTCAAGGCAATAAAGACTGGAGCTGGCAGGACACTTCCTCTCACTGGGCAGTTCCTCCCCTGTCTATGAAAGTATCTCCCATGTATCGAAACTCTATCCACAGAGTGCCACCAGGTGCTCACGGCAGCCTGTTGGGTGCACATGCGATGTCCCATTCTTCAGACAGGGAAACTGAAGGCTGGGAGCTCCAGGCCTTGCCCAAGCCCTCTCAGAAGCCTGGTTCCGAGGTTCAGTGGGCAGCAGATCAGCTCACCCTGGGCGTCCTGGGGCCACTGGCAGGGATGAGGGTGAATCCCAGGGCGCCAGGTGGGGCTGGGGCTCATGCCTGTGTCTGCCTGGGCTGGGCAGGTGAGATGCCGGCTCACTCACCTGGGCATGAACGGTACAGGCTTGGGCCAGGCTGAAGTTGCTCTCGATCTCTTTCCTTCCGCAATCCCAGTCTCTCCAGGGAAGTCTGGGAACTGGCTGGAGACATATAAGAAGGCAGCTGGAGGGGGGCGCATAGGGCTAGGACCCTGAGCAGGGATGGAGGTGTGAGTGGGGACCCTGAGGGCCGCTGCTCAGGGGCAGGAGGAACAGGAAGTGGGGGGAAGGGCAGGCTGAGCCCCTTTGGGTGGAAGCCTCGGCCTCCGTCCCAGGACGCCCCTCTGGCCGAGTGGTCACACCTTCCAGGGCTCCCATGGCTTTTGAGTCACAGATCTCTGCACCCCAGGCCATGGCTGAGGACCCTCCCTCTCTGCAGCCCTTGCTGGGCCCTTGCACTTGGCTCTTCAGGGCTTTCTGCAGGGCACCCGTTCCTGCTGCCTTGCTCACCCAGCCCCAGGCATCTCCCTGGAACCTGCTGCATGTCCCTGAGCATCTCCTCTCCTGCTGTGACAGGACTGTCTACCTCCAGGGCTGTCTGGTCAGCCTGGGAGACACCCCCAGGTCCCCTGGCTGGGCCGAGGGGTGGAAACAGCTGTGGTGTGGGCAGGATGGGCTGTGGCTGAGGGTGGCCGAGGGCTCTGGAACCCCAGCATCGCAGCATGCACCCTGCACACACAGCCGACCCTGGAGGAGGAAAAGGGCCCATACATGGTCTCCAAGACCAATCGTTTGGCATCAGACTATAGCTATGGCCGACCGCCAGGGACATTGCATGGTCACCTGCCCCGAGGCCTCCTACACCACTCACATCTGACGTGTGCTGGCCAGGATGCTGTGCTGGGCTACCTGCGGAAATGCCAGGGAGAAGAAGCCCTCTCTACCCTCACCTGGAAGATGCCCACTCATGTACCATCAACCATGAAGTGAACACCAGCTGCTGCCATTCCCCCTGCCCCAGGCTCCTCCCCCTACAGAAGACACATGGGGTGCCAGCCAGGTGTGACAGAGTGGGTGAAGGAGGGAGGGGAGAAAATGCTACCCCCCATCTACCAAGAGGGGCCCCAATGACCTCCAAGGACCTTCTGAGCCTTGTAGACCCTGCCTCTGGCTTCCCAAGAGCTGAGGTTCCCCACAGGGCGTCCTGGGGAGCCACTTGGTGAAGGCCACAGTCAGGACTACTCCTGGGCAGATTGCTCCACTGATCTGCCCCCCGAGCCAGACCCTTTCAACCCTGGGGACACTCTGCCAGCCGGCCTGTCCCCCTTTCCTCCTTCCTTTCCCCTGCCACTAACTCTTCACACACAGCACTTGTAGGCAGCCGGTAACCACATGCGCAAGTCACCAAACAAGATCACTTGGGATACTGCTGAGTTCTAGGAAGCAAATACACAGGGGCAATGAGACGGATGGTCAGTGGGGGCCTCAGGGGCTTGTTTCAGGGGGAGGTGGGTAGAGAAAGTCTTGCTGAGAAGGAGACCCAAATGCCAGCTGTGCAACTGGGAGAGGAGTCCGCAGGGAGAGGTGACCCTGAGGCTGGAGCCAGTTCAGAGCTCACTAGGGAAGGAGAGCTGGGGCCCGGGGCAGATGGGTAGTCAGAGGCAGGAGAGAGTCAGGTTACAAGGGCCTCTCAAGGGCCGTGGGGAGCCCCCAGCTTTTGGCAGTACCTTCGGCTTAAGTCATCCCTTGGGCTGCAGTTGAGAAGGGACTCCCTGGGCTCTCCCCATGGCTCCAGGAGGCAGTTGTTGGCACTGGTCCTGGGCCATGAGCCATGCTTGGCCGTGACAGCAGGGAGTACACAGGAGCCTAGCACAGACACAAGTATTGTGATGCCAAGGGACAAGGGGAAGGGGAGGCAATTTTAGGAAAATACCCATTTGCCGTGTCTAGCAGCCATTCCCCATCCAGCCCTTGCCTTCCATTGGGACCCATTCTGCTCCTAAGTCCCTTGGCCTGATCCCATGCCCACTGCCCTCTCTCTGCAGAGTGACTTGGGGGGCAGGGTAGGGACCAGTGTGTGAAGTCAAGGAGACATGCCATTGGGCTGGCATCAACATCTGGAGAAGGTCCTGCAGTCCCCTAGCACCTGGTGTCTTATCAGTCTTACCCCTCAATATGCCCTGGATCAAGGACGTCATCTGGGAACCCTCTCCAGCTTCTCCAGCCAGGCAGGACCCTGGCTCTGCCTGCTCCTGCCTCGCTGCCCAGGGCCAAGACCCAGCAGTGTCACAGAGTGGACACCTGGGGGACACTCCTGTGAGTCCCGACTATCTCTCCTGCCTGGCTTCTCCTCCCGTGGAGGTGGCAATGCTGAGGAGCTCATCACTTCCCAACCCCACCATGTCCCTGCTCGTGCTCAGGATGCACAGAGCGGCACCACCAAGCCCAGCCCTCCAGGGACCCCTTCCAGAGTCACAGGTCCCAGGGACACCAGGACGAACCACCTAGTGGTGTCTCTGCCTCCCTTTCTGCCCATGTCCCCCAGGACCCCTGACGATAAATTTTGTTAAAGGCAGTTTCAACTTTCATCAAGATTTTATCTGGAGAGGGTGACAAGGGCAGGGGAGGAGCCTGCCTCCAGAGGGCAGCAGGTAGGGACTAGCCTGGCTTAGGGAGGGACAAGGCCCAAGACCATCATTTCGCCCAGGGAAGTCCTGTGAGGGACCATCTTCCTGGCTCCACACACTGCTAGGCCCCAACAGCACACAAGAGGACTTGCTAATGTGCTTTAATAGGGCACTCCTGGCTCTGGGCCAGTCCTTGGTCCTGGAGGAGACAGCGGAAGGAGGAAAGGGGGCAATGAAGCGGGCAGCCGTGACCCCTGGGCAGCAGACAAGAAACGGAAGGTCAGGTCCACAGGTGCCTGGGCCATAGCAAGAAGTGTGGTTGGGAGACCCACCTCCACGTAGGAGCTGAACGCCAGGACACTGCGGGGCCTGAGCATCCCAGACAGCCCCTGGCCCAGGTGGTGGAGCTGGGAGAAGGCGCAAGGCCAGGGCTCCCACCGCTGCCTCTCCCGCAGGGGGCGCCCAGGCGGGCGGTGGAGCAGGAGGAAGCAGAGGGGCGCCAGGCTGCGGGAGAGGAGGCCATGGGCGCGCGGGGCGGCTCGCTGCTGCTGGCGCTGCTGCTGTCGCCGCTGCTGTCGCCGGTGGGACCCGGGCAGCCGGGTGAGCTCGGGGTCGCTGCTGGGCGGACAGGGCTGGATGCGGGCGGGCGGGGAGCGTGGAGCCAAGGGGAGCTCACCTTCTCGCCTCCTCCCAGCGCCGCAGGAAGCCGACCCAGTGTCAGGTAAGGCGCCCAGGACGCGCGCTTCCCTGCGCCGCGCACCCGGCGGGGGCGCAGAGGGCGCCTCATCTGTCCTCTTCCCGATCCCGGGATCCAGAACTCATTCCTGTTCGGCAGTAACTGATGGGCCCTGGGGGAAGGGGCGGCCGTCTCCGAGCACGTGGGGAGGGTTCCCCGCATCCTCTCCGCAGGCCGCAGTACCCCTGGTCGTGCGCGGGGCCCCTGGGTGGGCGCGCGGGTTCCCGGGGAGGCCCCCCAGCTTTTATGCACCCCGGGGGGCGAGGCCGGGCGGGGTGGGCCTGTCTCCCGCTGCTCAGCCGCGGGTCCCTCTGACCATCCCAGAGCCCTGCGGCCACCGGACCATCCCGTCGCGCGTGGTGGGTGGAGGTGACGCCGAGCTCGGGCGCTGGCCGTGGCAGGGGAGCCTGCGTCTGTGGGGCAGCCACGTCTGCGGAGCGAGCCTGCTCAGCCGCCGCTGGGTGCTCACGGCCGCGCACTGCTTCGAAAAGTGAGTTTGTGGGCACGGTGGGGGGCGAGTGGGGCGGCTTCGGCCCGGGTTTGCGCGGCGCCCACGTTGCACGCGGGGCGGCCGGTGTTGTTCTGAGGCCTAGACTAGGCTGCGGCTGGCTACACTCACGAGAGTTCCAGTTGACGCCCTCGAGGGAACCCTTTTCAGGTTATTCTAGAATGTTCTTCCAGAACATTCCCATGCACGTTTGGTATATTGCTTCCCCCCTCAACCCAAATGGTACCACCGTCTGTACCACCCTCATTCCACCTTCCTCCCACAGGGGTGGGAGGTTGGGCTGTGGTGGTTGTAAGAGCTGAGCACTCCCAAGAAAAACTCTTTGGACGCCATCTTGCTGAGGGTCCCACATTGGCGTCTGTGCATCTGCTCATTCCTTTTTGGGCTGCAAAGGGGCCCCACTTGAGGACTTGGTTCGATTTACCTATCATAGGACAGTTCTGTGAGGTGCCAAGACCGTGGGGGGTGGGGGGAGGGCCTCCTGGTCCAGCCCCCACAGTGCCCAGGTTCTGGGACTCTGGTTGTGGCCTCTTTGGGCTCCCCCATTTCAAAGGGGGCCCTATGGCCATCAGAAGGAATTGCTCACAGCCCCCAGTCTCACCTCGTGGAGTGGCCCCCCAGCTGTGGGCAGGTGGCCAGCCCTGTTTCATGGCCTCTGACTGCTCTCTCCTCCCCCGCCAGTTCTGAGGATCCCTACGAGTGGACAGTGCAGTTTGGCGAGCTGACTTCTATGCCATCTTTCTGGAACCTGCATGCCTACTACAATCGTTACCAGGTGGAGGATATCTATCTGAGCCCCAAGTTCCAGGGGGCTCCACCCAATGACATTGCCATGCTAAGGCTGTCCTCCTCTGTCACCTACACTAATTACATCCAGCCCATCTGTGTCCCAGCCTCTACAGTGGAGTTCGAAAACCGATCCGACTGCTGGGTGACTGGCTGGGGGGACATCGAAGAGGATACTGGTGAGGCTGGCGACAGTCAGGTCTGGGGGAGGGGCACTATCCTAGTCCACCTGTGGCAGCCACACCAGCCCCCTGCTTGGTTGTGGGGTGCAGCTGGGGCCCCTCCTGCTGGTGTCCGCAGCTTTCTCTCCTCACCTGCTTTTCTACTGCTGCTCCCACCTGCAAGTGTATGAACCACTCAGTTCTCTCCCTTCCTGAGATTACGTGGCCCAGAAAGAGAGGCCGAGAGTGAGGCCCGCTCGGCCCAGGCCTGCATTCCCTCGCCTGCAGGGTGAGGGTTTTGGAGGATTCCCTGCTAAAGGTGGCAGGTGTTGATCTATTCATACATCTTTTCAGTTTGGAGGGTGCTCACCCCCCCCCCCCAGCCATTAAACCCCCCCCGTGGCCCCCCCCCCCCCCCCCCCTCTCCCCCAGTTCCGCCCCACTCCCCCGGAGTGGTGGGCTCTTT